CCCTCCGGCAGCTACGGGGCACCATCCGTAGGACGTCCCTCGTCCTCTTACGGCGCTCCTTCTAGCGGTGGCGGTGGATTCGGCGGTGGTGGTGGTTTCGGTGGTGGCGGCGGCTTCGGCGGCGGTAAACCATCCTCATCTTATGGAGCACCGTCAAGTGGAGGCGGTAGACCATCGTCCACGTACGGTGCACCTTCCGGTGGTGGTGGAGGTTTCGGCGGTGGCGGTTTCGGAGGAGGGGCACCCTCCTCGAGCTATGGAGCGCCACCCTCCTCGAGTTATGGAGCACCTTCTTCGACCTACAGCGCGCCCTCCTCGAGCTATGGGGCACCGCGCGGCGGTGGCGGCGGCGGTGGCGGAGGTGGATACGCTGGAGGCGGAGGAAAACCCTCGTCCAGCTACGGAGCTCCCAGTTCCGGTGGCGGCGGCAGTTTTGGAGGTGGCGGTAGTTTCGGAGGAGGTGGATACTCTAGTGGTGGTGGAATATCTTCAACTTATGGTGCACCCTCGGGAGGTGGCGGTGGATACTCCGGTGGTGGCGGCGGAGGATACTCTGGCGGTGGTGGCGGATATTCCGGTGGTGGCGGCGGAGGATATTCTGGTGGTGGTGGCGGCGGATATTCCGGCGGTGGCAGTTTCGGAGGGTAAGATATGATAATGCAAAATAAATGCAAAACTGTTCAGTAAAAAAACCAAAGATTGTTTTTTTTATTTTATGCACGACAGCAACTCTCTCTCTCTCAGTGTGAATGATTTTTTTTTTCAATATCACGATATTCCAGTTCTAATTATATAAATATTTATAATAATTAAGACATTTTTTTTTTAAATCATGATTTTTACTTATTTAATTCGGGGTATATTCATTTTTTACCAACTTGTTCAATTTAAAAATTTTATTTATAATTTCTTATTTATTATCCATACTTTTTTATCATTGATTTTTTTCAATCTATTAATTAAAAGTTTTTCTCATGATTTGCTGTTGTTATCCTCAGCTCTGGTGGTTACTCCGGAGGAGGTGGTGGCGGTTATTCCGGCGGTGGTGGTGGTGGTTACTCCGGCGGTGGCGGTGGCGGTGGCAGACCATCGTCGTCTTATGGTGCTCCCAGTGGAGGTGGCGGACAGAGCTACGCCAGCAATGGAGGATACCAATACTAATCCAGATATGTGTTCACCCGGCGAGACGATCTCCGTGCTCAATCACGTCGGCTTCCACCAGGTTTTCTGCGTTGAACAACGCAAACCGAATCTATCGCAACCTCAAGACTCGTTAGTTCGATCGATCAACTTGATCGACTACGTGTTATCAGAAAAGAGACGTCGATCCGAGAGACTAGTTTTAATCGAAAGATGATGGCCTTGGTGCCCACAGTTACGAAGAGATAATCTCGGACATGATAACGTGAATAAAGATCAGAGAAAATCAACGCTGAAGGCATCCCCGTTGTTATATCATCGAATGTGTCCTTCAACAATCACATGGATATATTTGAGATTTTCCACGGAAACATCTGCATGACAACAGCTGATGGGAGAAACGTGCGAGGATCGTTCGCCGCATCGTGAAATTCGTGCTAAAGATTTAACAGCGATGAGTTCTCAGTCGGGAAAGTTGTGAGCGAAGGAATATTCGTCCCGATGGCAGGCGCGTTCCCGCGAACGGCCGAAAGAATAAGATAGTTATTTTTTTTCCTTTCTTTAATGTTATTATCACTTTCATGTACCGGCTTCCAGGAAAGCGTCTGCTTATGGAACGTTACTTCCGTCGACGTCGAAGAAAAGCGAGGAAAAGAAAGAAGAAGAATAAAACGAAGAAAGGAAAACGAACGAGAAAACTCGATTTTCCACATTTCGGAGCCTGTAACTTATTTATTTTGTAAAGACGCTTTTTTGTACTAATAATAAAGCCGCTATGCTGATAAGGAATCTCGTCGATTTGTCAACTTTTTGTTCATCCCGTTTCGTTGTACTAGAAATTAATCTTTTTTTAGGAAATCTCCTACACTTATTTCATGCGGTCTTTTTAATTATATAATTATCTTCGCGTTGTAAGTCATGCAATTTAAGCTAAAAATCCGAATTTCGGATTTAATCTTATTTTTCTGATCAACCATTTCCCCTTTTTTCAAATGATAAAATCTCTTCGCGGTTGATATTTTGTCGATTAACTACCTCAATCTTCAATAGAACGGTTCCCACTTTAAGAAGAACTTTTCTAAGTCTCTATACCCAAAGGAAGATGATCGGCGAGACAAAGAAGAGCTCGACATAAGGTTAGTCGGCCGACACGGTCGATTTATCGATTCTCACAGCTCGGATACCGGGAGGACATGAATAACTAAGAGCTCTCTTTCTATTCCTACTGTCGAGCGTCTAAAAATGCATATTGATATCGAGGACTTCGCGAATATGATGACGCGAGTCCTGCCCCGTTGTCGATCAGCAAAACCGAAATGCGGGATATGCATTGCCATTGCAAAGCTCTTAGGTTGATAGTCATAGTTAATTCTTATTTCAAGATCATCTTAAGTAATATCTTAAGATGTTGATACAACATCTTAAGATGGTATTCAACATCTGTGGCCAGTATTCGTAGTCCTTATTTCAAGACTATCTTATTAAGTAATGTCTTAAAATGCTAATACGGTTCTGTGATTGGTTCATGATATCTAAGACTGTACTTAATTAAGATGATCTTAGATATAAAAATCGACTATAAATACCGGCCTTTGACATTGAAAAATTAAAATACTCCAAGAGGTTTCTTCTGGATGTGATCTGTAAATATTAAAATATCGTCGGGTCTACTCGTTTTATTCGCGTAGCACGTAGTATTATTAATATTTAGTATTACATTGCATCTCTAAGGCGAGAAACGTAAATATGGTAAAGTAAAGTTCGGTACGCATACAGTAAAAGTAAATAAGTCAACGTAATAATTTTATCAGAAGTACCTTCTAATCAGCTCTGTCGTTTAAACGAACATGCAGTTATGTACGAAATTGTGTTATATGCTACGTTGACGAATTGACACAAGTATAACCACTCACTGATTCCTACAAATTTTATTTTTTCCATCCCTCTTAAAAATTTTGCTCTTTGCACAGCTTAGGTGGATATAATTCTCAACCCTCTTGAAATATCAGAGTTCATGCTCTTTTAAAGGATGCAAAGGTTAGCGTCGGGGTGGTATTTAAGACTTAGAAGGGATTCAACTATGTGTTCTTTGAAGTTTATTCATACAACGATCTTACCACATTTAAGTTGCCGTATAATCCGTCTCGCCTGCGAATTTATAATTCCGAAGAAGTTCACGTTTTCTCAAGTATTCGTTGTTGGAGCTTGTCTTACCTGCTGTTACGTTATTCCTTCAAGATGCTAAACGTTGCTTTCCAGTATCCTCAAGGTAAATAAATCAACTCTGCCTTGGGTCGTGCTTGGAGAAGGAGAAGTACAGGAGGTACTTCGAAAGCTATATCTTTTAGTTGTCGACTACACGAACTCATCTCAAAACTACATTATGGAAACCGCACATTGCTGCGCTAAATATGAGCCGCCCGACATTTTTGTACACCGTTTATTTTTAACATTTACAATCAACATCTCTTTCGTTTGTCAATTATACACGTATAATGTCATATAATACAGTAACGCTTCTGCAATACATATACATGGATATACTGCTCCGGGCGGGATGGGGAGGAAAGGGAAAGGGTGAGTCAGGGGACGCTTTGCTTTTTACATGTTTAATAAGTTATTCTACGTAATTAGGTAAGTCACCCCGTGCGTTTGGGACGCGCAATATTAAGTACGCCATTTTGGTCTCCAAGCGGGAAAGTGAACGACGATCTCGGTTTGGTTGGAGGATCGTTTTCGCTAATTCTTATTCGAGCTATCTCGACTTCGCATTTTCGTATTCGCACGACACAGATTGGCTGTCGACTCGCGATTTTATAATACTTTGCAACGGAACGACGTCATTCTGCGAGGAGTGATAGACTCTTGGATGCACGAGCTTCTTGAGAATTGATAAAATTCGTTCCCTTTGAATTAAAAAAATTCGTCAAAGGCAAGGAAATAATTTTGCAAATAGCTGGACTGTATAAAATAGATGTCCAATGAAATTATAATTTGTATTCTTAATTATGAAGATTCTTTATGTCGACAAGAAGAAACACGCAGTGATCCAAAAGAACTTTTGTTTTACTTCAGTCATTTATATTGTAATTCTAAAAAATATTTAATTTAAATATCTACAAGACTCTTAACAAGATATTTCCAAAATTCTTTCTCTTAAGAGTTTCTCGGCATGAAGCTGCGCGCATAAAGATCAACAAGGACACTCGTGGCTGTAGAATAAGCACAAGTATCCCCTTTCACCTCAAGAACGACGAGCGTTTTCGTCCTAAAGGATATATATTATATATACATATAGTCTTATCTTATTACGCACTTCCTTCTCTCCGCAACTAATTATATCTAATATACAATAGAGCACACTTTATGATATGTATAGGTTTCTCGTTGCGTCGTCGATTACAACGTACGTTGATTGATATGTAAATGATACGTGGCCGTCTTATGAGAGCATTCTCATAAGCTGTAATGTCTACTAGTTTCTCCCACGCGTTCTCGACACGCGGCTCCTCCACCCGTCTTAAATTCGTACAAAAGAAACGATGGGAGATCAACCTCGAAGCACAAAATACCTATCGAGACAAGCGAATTCATTATGACGCTCGATCGAAACGAAGTGTAGATGAATGACCGATAATTATTGAAATTCACAATTTCTCCCTATCTTTCTGGAGTGTAAATATAAAGAACGCACAAAAATGTAAGAGATGCAAAAACTCAGGAAAGCAAGAAATCAAAGACTTACGTTCCAGATTTATAATGTAATGTAATGTATCAATTAAGTATTCCCATTTAAGAACCAAGAACTTGAAGATTCGTCCCGTGGGCTCAACAATTAAACTCTACGATCAAGACGAAGTAAAACGATTAAAAACTCGAGAGCCCACTAAAGTCCTTCTTATTATCATTCATGTAAATCGAGAAATGGGAGATACGCAAATCTCCGTATTTCAAAATATCGGAGTTCGAAACGTCTGTGGTAGTTTGAAACGGGTCAAGACAATTATCTCTTGACTTCGAACTCGCCGGAAAATTCACGAATGTGTTGAAAAGGGAAACGCGCTGCGTAGAAAAATAATTCGCGGTACTTTTGTTCGTGATACTTTCGTATTCCTGGCGCGAGAAGCGAGACGGCGGTCTTCGCACGCGGTTCATTGTAGCGCGATACTTTCGTGCTTCGGCAGGAATATAATAAGGATAATAATTTCATCTTGCGCGCGCATCTCCACGGGCTCGTTGTCCACGAGCGTCACGGATTAGCCAGCCGGCGCGCTCGTCATCGTCTCTAATATCCTAGTGAAAGTACGCGGAGCTTAACGACGCGGACGGACGGACGAACGGAAATGCATGGGAGATGCATGCTGCATAGCGAGTATCTCCTTCCCTCCTTCACGATCTCGTATCGCATAGCGAGCTCCGTTCCTCTGCACGTTTCGAATCGCGCCGTCGCGTCGCACGCTCGTAATTTCACCTCCGAACGGCATCTCCGACTTAACGAGCGGATAATACGACGACGCGCAGCGGAAAATGGCTAGGCCACTTCCGGCAAATCGCCGGAGATCAGTAAAACCCCTTCTTCTTGAGGGTATTTTCGATTCCGCTAGAGAACACCGCGGAAGAAGAGGCTCGTGAACGAAGAGACGCGCGTGATCTTGAATGCAGAACGAAGTGCCAAGCGATTTGAACGAGTTACCTCGGAAAGTAATCCGATCGTAAACAGTTTCCGGAAAGTGAAAAGAAAATATCAACACGTTTATATACAAGATGCAAAATTCGCGACTCAAAATACTATAGAAAGGAAGGCTTTCGAATAATTAAGTAAACGAGTTACTTGTAAATTTTTATTTTTTATGCAATAGTTTCTGAGATATAAGAATTTAAATATAGTCAATTTACTGTGTGTTCTATGGCTGTGATAATATATTTAAGACAGATAAGATAGAAGATATAAGGTAGTCCAATAATAAAGGTAGAAAGAAAGACAGGAGTAATAAACAATTTAAAGTAAGAGAGCGTATGAAAAAGGTATGGATGAATGAGTGAGATAGGAACAACGATTGTAAGGCAAGTTCCCTCTTTGTAAATACTGAAGAGAATTAAATTCTAGTTTATTCTAATATAGCCAAGATTACAGACTACGTTTAAATGGACATCTGTCAGTATTAGTGAGTGCGCTGGAGAACGTTTACTAATACGTATACTACCGAGATTCACGGACAGGTGGCCATCTATGACTGGTATTCACAGTCGGTTCTTATTTTAAGACCGTCTTAAGTAATATCTTAAGTCGCTAATGCGACCCTCTGATTGATTCATGACTTCTTAAAACTGTACTTAAGACGGTCTTGAATATAAGATCTGACTATGAATACCGACCTAAATGTAGTTTGTAACTGACTATATTTAAACCCTTATTATTCTCTCTCAAAAATTATTTATTATCTCAATTTATTATTTCAAACATTATCATCTAAAATAAAAATTTACAAATAATAATTTTTAGACTTCATTTTTCAAAAAACTTTCTTGATATAGTATTTTGAGTCGCCAATTTTGGGACACCCTGTATAATATTCTTCAATTTAAAATACTTAAAAAAAAATAAATACTTTATGAAAGTGACACACGCACGCACACACACGCACGCACACGCGTGCATACATACTCACATGCATACAAAGAGATAATATTTTTAATGACTTAATGCTTTAGAATATTATATCAGGGACTTCTATTGTATGCAAATCGCTGCGTCGTTGAAGTACAAGAAGCCCTTTAAAAATTCCTGACATTTGGACTGTAAACACGTTATTTTTCTTCATTTCCTTGATACGATGTTAAAGTTATTTAAAAGCACCTTCGTCCAACATTATTTGATATCTGATATCGATATTAAAATTTCTGATATCTCAAATATATATGTAAGAGTTCCATATACTTTCATATCTACTATCTGTCTACAAGTTAAACGAATTAACAATCTTGCACATTTAAAAATTTAACACGGAGGCAGGTCTCTTAACGCGAGATCCATCGATGAGCGGAAAATCCTGATCTAACGGGAATAAAAACGCGTCTTTATAAACTAGAAAAATATACTCAGTTCACACGCTACTCTAGAAATAACCGATACGCTTTCTGTCTGGAGGAAATGGTAAGTAACTATTTTGCAAGCACGACAAACTGGACCGATCAATTATTCACGCAACGATGTTAAACGGAAAACGATCACACACGAGCGACGACACGCTCGAAAACTTAATCGCGTTGAATTTTACAGGATCGCCAAATCAGACGCTCATCACAATTCGTCGGGTGAGTAGGAACTAAGTACAAAAACTCTGTACTATCTGTACGAAATTATCTAAAGTACCTCATCCCGTTATTACGCACACGTCGCGTTTCGAGATCCGAAGGGGTCCAATTTTCACAAGTGCGTTTGAAATTTCGCATCATTCAAAAAACGTTCGAGGCCGTCAATCGTAGAAACCTTCTAATCAAAGTCTGGCCATAAGATAGCAATCTATGATTAGACAAGATACAATTTTTTTTATGCTGTATAAGAAAAGAATAGATGTAACTTGCTCGTAGATGCGCAGTTGGATGATCAATGAAAAATTTGTCCCAAATTTTATAAGCCAATATAATGCCGCTATGAGAAATTTGCCATCAATCAAAAATTCGACCCAAATTATATTCAACCGCCATTATGCGCAATATTACACCTGGTACTCTTACTCTCTAAAACTTCTAGAGTGAAAGCTCACTCTGAAAAGTGAAACCTCACTCTTAAAGATTGAAAATTGAACCTCACTCTTTTCCAAGACTTGCTAATTTTCACTCCTTAGAGTGAGATTCCACTTCAAAGAATTTAGAAAGTGCATCATATCTTTTCCCACTCGCACAATTTTGACGAAAAATGTCGGACCTTTGTTATGGCCACTCTAATTAAAGAGTCTCTGGAGATTAAAGTCAATCGGAGACGGATCTACGCGAAAAGCAATGGATTCAAATAACAAAGTGATCTCAAATGACGTCTTAATAATATCTTAATGACATCTTTAACGTCAGTAGGACGTTATTAAAACATCACCTTGCTACTTCGAGAGCTCACGCTTCAGTTCAACATGAGGAGTAATAATTTTAAAAAATATTTCTTGTCCTTTTTAATTATGTATATCACATCCTTCTATTAATACTCACGTTTAATTACTTTTCTAATTGGGTTTGCTCAGAAACAATCAGTTTTAGATTTCAATATTCGTCCTTGACGCCGACGTTAGTCTCGAAACGCGATGTTCTCATCCTTTGGCGGTAAATAATGATATAATACATGAGCAATCAGGTATAACGAGCGTAAATATATTATATATTTTTCTAGGCGTTTTATGCGTATTGCGTATAGCGACCTCGATATCGGTACTATAATATATAATATACACACACATATATAATATATACATATATGTGAACCACGTAACAAACGGATCCTCAAAATAACAATGATGGCGATAACTCGTACCTGCGATATTAACACCTATGGGTTTAGTCTTCTCGTGTATGTATAATATATATATACAGAGAGAGAGACAGAGCGGTCTATATTTTCTTTCCTCGTCACTAAGTCACCCATCTCTCTCGCTCTTTGCTGCATTTACCGCTCATAATTTTTATATCATACATTTATATTATTATATACTATATGATAAACACAACGGATCTGCGCTACGAACGGTCTGCCTGACGAAGCTCCGCGGCTCACGTTTGACGCACGAATGCATGACGATATACCGTCGACGAAAAAGCTGCGCTCCCAAAGAGAACGTATCTATGTCGTAATCGAAGATAATGCATCAAATAATTTTTTTTATTTAATACTACAATTTATTAATATATTTAAACTAAGAAATTGTTTTAAGCAAAATAAAGACTCGATAGTATAAAATAATTTAGACTGATAAATTAATGCTATTACATTATTTAAAAATTTTTTGAATATTACAGTAATTATAAGATAAATCTGATAATTTTTAAAATAAAACTTTCGACATTTGTAGTATTTAATTAGAATTATATATTTGTGAACTTTATACGCACCAAATATGACACCGCACTTTCATTAGTCTTTTATGTGTGTGAATTTTATTTCAATATCGGAAGTCCGTCTTTTTCATAAAATAATTATTAATTAATTACTACTTAATATAAAAATAATTCAGAAAGATTTATAAATACACGAAGTATTAGCCTTTAAAAAAGAATGTCATAGGAATTTCGATTCTCAATAATGAAAATTTTTTAAACTTTAATACGATGTTATACAGTTAATTTATATAAAGTACTACTTGATGTTCTTTCTCATTCTTGTATCAATATGTATATCTCAAATCAGGCATAAGAACGTCTTTAAGTTTCTTAAAAGTGAAATGAATTTTCAATCTGGCGTATAGCCATTTATTTTTAATAGTCGATAACGAGATCGTGAGCCGCGAAGGAACGTAAAATTCTACAACGAGAGCGGGATCGTGCTAGATCATCCTCCGTTTCTAACGACGCATCTATTATACAACGTGTTTCTTTTACGTTAGCACGTATAGATGAATATGTATGTGTGTGTTCGTGACTCGTGTGTACGACTGGGCGAAGCGAGGGAAGAACGATCGATCGCAAGTACAAAAGCTTCGTTTTACCTCTTCTCCTAACACCAATATGGACACTCGACATTACGACGCACGTTAACTAATTATAGCGCGAACTAATTGCAGTGAAAGAGGCGATAGAAGGATGGCATACTAGATGGACGCGGTTTCTCTTCTACCGTGCCTTGAAGGCGCGTCCAATCGATCGATATTTATCGTTGCTATTCCAAAATCAAGAAATTGTATTCAGGATCATTACTAAAACCAACGGCACACGATGATTTTTTCCTGCTGGATTGTTTGCGTTTTAATAAATTATTAGAATTGCATCACACAGAACGTAGAATTTCTAATAATTTATTGAAACGCAAGCAATCCAGCAGGAAAAAAATCATCGTGTGCCGCAGGCTTAAAAATACTGAGGAATATTAATGCCGAAGTATTTAAAATATTTTATTGTTAAAGAAAGAAAATATATATGAATATTTTTTTAACAGTAATAATTATCAAAAACTCTTACGAGACAATATAATATTTGGAAAATATAATAATATCCATTTGTCAATAAATGATAAGGAAACTGCCAATATTTTAATATTAAGTTGACTATTTTCGAGACTGGGTTGACGATAAATATTAAGCGGAACGTACTTTTATTGCGTGCTTTTGCCAAATGTGATTATTTGATATTTATTTCACATTTTCGTTCAAAATGCATTTCGTATTTCCTTCTGTTAGTCAAATAAAAATTTTTAAATTATATTCATTAAATGATATTCAGATATTCACATTCAGCAAAACGCGAAATAAAAATATGTAGGGCACTTCAAACACATCGCATACATTGTCTCGTCATCTCTCACTTCGCAACTTTCAGATACGTTCGTTACTAAGCTTCAAGATCCGGTCAGACTGAAATCTTCATGATGTTAAACGACAATTAAATTATTATTATTCGTAGAGATCAGAGATCACGACTGATCTTAATTTCATGATTCTTTCTGTGCACGCACAGAATTGAGAGAAAGTACGCGATACGTCTACGACCCCGCATACAAACTTATATAAACACGTTGACCGCTCGATCTAATTAATTTCTAACGAAGAAAAGCCACGCGCCGATCGACCGAGCCTCGATAAGAATCCTCGCAATCCTCACGATTTTTTCGAGTCAGGCAGATCGTTCATATTTCGAAACACTCTCAAGCAGTTTTTTATTAAATTCTAAATATATATATCTTTTTGTATATATTATTTTCATATATATATATATATATACCTATTATATATATATATATACCTCTCCAAAAAGAAAACAAGGAAATCACTAGGCCTAATTGGCGGTGCGGGGTAGGGACGCCCGGCCTGAATACGCCCGAAGCTCCGACTTCCGATTTGGAAACGCTACGCTTTATCCCCTTGCCGCTCGCGCGTACTTTCCAATCACCTTATTCTTCCTCTTTCTGTCCCCCCTTTTTTCTCCCCATTTTCTCATTAGTTTATTGCTTTTTCTGAGCAGCGACGGGAACACGAACGCGAGCGGACGCGGGCAGGTACAGATCGTTAGACGGGCACCAGCAACATGGGAAACACGCGCGCACATTCACGCAGAGAGACAGACACACGCACACACATACACTCACGTACGCACAAATACACACTCATAGGTACGCGAGTACGAAAGAAACTTCGTATCAGACTTACCGCAAGCCACCGCATTGTTGGCTCATCTCGGAGCTCCGTGGACGTAAGGCGGGTAGAAAAAGGAAAAGTGAACTGGAAAACAGGACACCGCGGGTGTACGTAACCAGCCGGGAAAGTCGGAAAACCGATTAACACTAGAACGATACCTCCGAGAGGGACAATTTGTGCCGTTAACAATTCCGACCATCTATACAATAATCATCGCGATAATTATCTTCGCAGTTCTCTCGGGGACACATTAGATTAGAAGAAGCATTATTGCTAGCTAAATGTATATTATATGATTACGCGCCTTGTGTCGATAGACTAGATTCAAGATGCAAAACAACGCGCGAATTAGAGACGTTCTAGTATTAATTCTTGTTCAAGAGTTTTTCCTTCGGAATGATTTTAGTAATTATTTGACTAATATCTTTGACAAATAAAACATTTCAATACGCATCTCATATATACCAATATTAACGCGGAACTGATCGAAATAAGGCCCCTCTTAGAGACTTAACACTTGGAACGATCTTCTATTATATTTGTCAGAAATTTATGCTGTCGAGAGTCAAGAGGAAACCGTCAGATTTAAATAAATATACCGCTGAAAGAAGCAGCAAGGTTCGAAGAAAGTCAACTGCAGGAACGAAACGCGTAGACGGGAGGGAGCAAGAGAAGAGGATCACGAGGGTAGAGTGAGAGGAAGGAAACGAAAGACAGAGACCCGCACCGCCGCACTTATTGTTGGTCACAGCATCCGATCACGGAACCAGGAATTAGAACGCGGTGCTGGATTGTGGTTGTCGAGACGCGCCGCCGGGTACATGTGGCACCAGGTGTCCCCCGGCACCGCCGACCCCGCCGCAAAAACCGTCCGTTGTACCTCCGACCATCGTACATCCCGGCTCCATGTCGTAGTCCGGCTCGAGCGCAGGGTTCACTCGGCCGTTCGATTCGTCCTTGCTGCCGTAGAGCCTGCCGACACCCGCAGCTAGGACCGCCATCTGCTCACCCTCGGCCGGGTCCGGGCCCACTCGCTCGACGTCCTCCGGGATGTTCACCACGCACCTGAAGACGTCGTAACCCGGGGCGAGCCGCCCGGTCAGGAAGGCGAACTGCGTGCCATACGACACTCCCACCAGAGTTATCAGCGACATCAGCATCGCCATTGTCCTGAATGGGAACATTTGCGTCGATGTCTCCTCGTTGTAGCCCGGATAACGTATTAGCGGGGGCAACCCCATCATCGGTTCGCCGCCGCTGATGCGCACCAGGAAGGCGATTATGTATGCTGATAGGCTGCCGTAGGTGTTGCAATAATCCTTGAAGTGCACCACCATTAGCAGCTGCGGGAATAGAATCACGTAGACCAAATCCGAGCACATGGACCAGAGGCCATAGATTGATGGTATCGTGAGAGCCATCACGGTGCTCAGTACTCCAACCACGCCGATTCCCGCTCGCATCACCCAGATGATCTCCATCTCCGACGCCTGCACAGGGGGTGTAAAGATCGCGCACCCACGTGAGTCAGTATCGACGAGAAGAAAAGAAGTTGGGAAAAACATTACATGAAGTTCTAAGGAAATGCACGTATTCTATCACAGGGCCGTGCAAAGTAGAGCTCTAGATGTATCAAAGTAGTGCAAAGATGTGTCAAATGTTTGCTTTCATTCACAGCAGGGCCCCCAATGCTAAGTCATCATTTTTGCACTAGGTTTCAAAAACTCTTTGCACAGCCCTGTTCTATTATATATTAAACTCATGAAAATAGTTATAGTTAACAACGACGCAGATATGATGAATCGACACGCGAGTATAATACAAAATTGGTGTAATTAAGATAATGCATAGCAATGATGCAATACCTTAACTGCGTAATACGTGTATATGTAGATATATGTAATAATAAATAATATTGATTAAAAATTACTTAGGAACTCTCAATTAAAAACATAATACTTAAACAATAAAAATAATCGTAATCTATGAGAAAGTAAAATAAATTAAAATTAAGTAAAAAAGTTCAATAAATTAAATAATGTAACAAAGAAGGGCTACGAGCCTAAAACAAATCGTTTAATATAATAATAATATCATTTTTAGACATTTTAGACATTTTAGACAGTTTAATATAAATTTGACTTACATAAAATAAAGATGAAAATAAACAATTATATAAAATAAATGTTTCGACACAATATCAGGTCATTATCAATGTTGACGGAAAATTAATATTGTAAAATAAAATTAGAAATTATAAAATTCATTAACATAATAAATAAATCCAATCATAAGATGTTCAATATAAACGCAATCTGAGCCAAATCCAATTAGATAAATAAAGTAAAATAAAGTTATATATATAGATAGAAAAAATTAAATTATAAAATATAATTCGGAAATATTTCGGTGCACAGTTCGTTAGACTACAATTGTGATATGTATGTCAAGTATATTGTATATATCATATTTAATATATATAATATGTATATATAACATTTGATTCAAGATTGAATTATTTAAGCATTTTAAGATCTAGCTTCGACCGGCATAAGACTCTAATTTATCGGTTGTCTCTCACATATACGGTCTAAAAATGATATTATTAAAATTAAATTATTATCTTTGTATTAACCTTCTATAGGCAACATTGTCTTGTCATAAAAAAAAACTTTTTTTACTGCCTTTGCTTGAAATAACTAGTAAGTAAAGAATCTATATCGATATTTACACATTATCGATGTACATATGTTACTACATATCGGTGTATAACCTTTCTCTGGTGAATAAAAGTACTATAGTGTTCAATGCTATTTCCATCTTCAGTTCTTATTTTCTTAAGTATTTTCTCAACTGATTTGTAGCGATTTCGAATTTATCCTGAATTGAATTTTAAAGTGAACCAATTAAGAAAATAAATCTATTTTCGGATCTTACTGTTTAAATATTTCAAAACGGAATGAATTTAAATTATTTACAATTCTTAAGACGCTTAGATTAACATCGAATTATTAATATCCTTTTGGGATGTTTTTTAGCATCAAAAATTATCAAATTATTTGTCAATTTAATATATGATATTACCATTCTATTTCTATTCACGATTGCGTTTCAAGAAAAGATTTCGGTCTACGGTTTACAGAATTAGATATGTATATAAATTCACTCTGAAATATTTAAGCACTCAGATCCGCTTTGATCAAAAATAAATTCATTTCCCTTAATTGATTTATTCTCGTCGATCTAATACGAATTGTAATTGTTTAAAGTGAACGTTGCAAATAATTACAACACTCGCCCTTAGAGGGTTAATCACAAGTTAACAAAGACGAAATAAGGTCGACGTAATTACAAACTAATTTTCATCGTGCTGTTCATGACAAACTTTCGCGAAAAATTTTACGAGAAGCTTGTTATAAAGTTTTACTCTAAACGCATTAAAGATATGTATCGACACGAGTAGCATGTTGTGTCAAGTAGTGGTTTCGCCACATGCATGAGTACAAGATGAATGGAGCTGAAATTTCACACGGGATGCAACTGGGAAACTCACCCGCTGACGGAAGATCAATTTATAAATGTTTCTAGCAAACATCGAACTAGCAGAGAGGATGCTGCTGTCCGCAGAAGACATTACCGCCGCCGATACCGCTCCCAGCCCGAAAAAGGAAACGAAGTCCGGTGTCAGGTGTTGCAAGACTAACGGTAAAATCATGCTAGTTTCCGTCTCCGTGAAAGGATAAGGACCAGTATACTCCGTCTCGTTCCAAGCTACGACATAATTATTATACAATTAATACGTAGCTTATTTTAAATAACATTTCGTTTGCGTTGATTAATTAAATTTTCATCGCTCCTCTCATTTATCTTAATATCCATATCATGACTATATATCGTTTATCAAATTTAATCTCGTTTCTCTTTGCCACCAACCTGCATGATTGTGAGATGTTTCTAATGCATACTAATGCGGAATACCGTGTTGTATTCTGTAGCTGCCCTATATATATGACTAATAGTCAGAATAATATACATGGTTTCTAAAGGGCAAAGGAGAACCCCTCGTCTTTGTCTGTCGCTTCGATTTGTATCGTCGCTTGTTTCACCTATCTACCGTCTTTGTTTGACGTCACGCCCGCGTAATTCGAAGTTCTGTACTTTCTTCCTATCTCTATCTCCCTCGCCAGCCGTCCGCGTGCACGCGCGGGATCCTTCCGCAACATACCGGTACAGGGTACCGAATTAGTTCCGGGGACGTAGCTACGCTACAACGGGCGAGTTGCTGCATTTACCCTCGCCCTCGCCCTCGCAAAAGCAACGCCACATGGCGGGGTCCCACGCTATTGTGCACGCACGCGAGTACACCAAAGACACCCCTCGGCCGTCCGCGCCCTTCGCGTTCGCCAACCGCTTATAAATACCAGCAGTTCTCTCTTTGTCGCGCCACCAAATGTCAAGTAGCCTCCGAATACGAGGAGAAGCGTGGGACGACGGGCAACCCGGCTTCTAATTCGATCCTCTCAAACGAAGAGCAGGAGGTTTGCGAAGGGGGATCATGTTACCCCCGAACGAGACGGCGACGATTTCGAGAGAAGCAGAAACGCCTCATTTTATTATTAATACATCCAAATTGAGTTCTTTCCCAACGCAAGAAAGATCTTTAAGACATAAGATCCTCTCCGAGGAAATGAGAGAACGCCGAATTAATATTTGCACGTTTTATTTAAATAGTCGCTAAATGATGTATTCATTGTAATATTAATTATGTAAAAGACGATGCAAAAGATAAGTACTTAATTTAAAAATGCGAAAAAATATTTATGATAAAATTTAAATGTTTTTCAAGGAGATATATAACGTGATAAAAATACTTTTCACAAAATTTTATGGCGTGACGGACCAGTAAACTCCCTAATTTATCGCTCCAATTAACATATTGCGAATATATATTGCATATAATATTAACTGTATAACGTCAATTTAATCAATAATTAAATGCGTACTCACGAGTTGCTTTGGCAATCGCTCCAATCAAGACGGGGGGAATGGCCATGAGGATGCAACCTATAGCGGCAACGTAACTCAATACTTGAGCTCTCCCCGCGGTTTTCGAGGAGAGGACACGTTGGAAGTACACTTGCCAAGGTATACCGCCGAATATCAAAAGTAAACCGTAATCCAAATAAAACCAATATTCCTCGGGATTCACTTTGCCGATCCAATCAACGTCCATGGAACTAAGGGATTCTACCTTCGGATTGGCCCAAGCGAACGGGATACACATCCACTATTGACAAAAAATGATTTCCATCATTTTAATATAGAAAATTTAAAAAAATGTGATAAGAGAATATTTGTCAATAGTAAAATAAATAGTTAATAATAAAATATTATTTAATGATTTTCTAAAAATCACTCTAGACTTTTCGCACTTTTCGATTATCTTTAATATTTTGAAAAAAAGATGATTATTTTTACTAAACTGTTGGTGTTTAAAATAATGTCAATTTTATAAAAAGAATTTTTATATTAACAGAATTTGAAAATAATTTGGTAAATGTTAAATTCGTTTTAAATATTCTTTTAGGCAGTTTTTAAGAAGACTGGATATAAAGCAGACTTTAATCTCTAATTGATTGATAAAAACTATTCAAATATCTTTTCCAGACATGGGATCTATTTCGCTACTCTGATCATTTCTGAAAAGCCTGATTTATCGCGATTAATTACAGTTAATGGATGGCGGTTTCGCTACAGAGGGACGAGTTTGCATTCGGAACAGTATCTGAAAGGGAAGTTCCATAGTGCTCGAAATAAAAGCATCGCGAATGTAATACTGTAACTCCATTCAATTAGTAAAGCGTAATAGAGGACAGCATAAACTAATTTAAACATTTTCGTTCAATAATATAAACTATTTTACGTATTAATATATATGTCACATGTCAATAATTTCTATTAATTAATGAACAACAAAATGAGATTATGCAATTGGAAACACGACGTCAGAATTACACTCTTGTAATATATAAACATTTTTTAGTCGCACGAATTCAACAGGATGAGAAACCTATATATTTCTTCTTTAAAAAAACTGAAATTTTAGTCAAATAAATTAAGCTACTAAAAGTAGAGTCTAAAAAGATAAGATCTTTGCATTGTGAAGTTTTAAAGTTCACCGTTGTAATGGAAACCTCTTCGTTAGGAGTAGAAGTCTCACTAAAATAATAGCTCGATAACGTTCTTTCGAGAAGTGGGTCACCACCTATGTGGTGACCCACGTCGCTGAGTATAAATTTGGTAATACAAACGCTCGCAGTAGCGGAGTCTGATATCGATTACCTCCAAACTTATATTGTATCAAAGACTCGTCCGACCGAGCGTTGCACGGGTCAAGTAAACCGTGACATTTATTGAAATTTTGTGTGTACTAAAAATACAAAAAAACGGGCGATTAAATTTTAACAGTGCATTATAACGACTTATTTTATTTTTATTTTAAGTTATTTTTCATTATTTAAAATTTTTTATTTTAAATAAATTTCTCTTTAATTATTGATTATTGTTTTATTAGGCCCAGTTCCACGACTCACGGTTAATTCTTAACCGAGGTTCAACTTATTCATTGTCTCTTTCCAATTCTAGAATTGGAAAGAGATGAGAAACAAGTTGAATCTCAGTTAAGAGTTAACCATGAGTTGTGAAACTGAGCCTTATTGTTTACACACAAATATATGTTCGAGTGTTCCTAATTGGGTTTTCAATCATTACTATTTGCTTACACTAAATAAATAATTATAACTAATTGCAAATACTTGATACAATTCGACAACTCAATCGACCGCTCACCAGACCGATGAATATGCAGAAGAGCTGAATGACGTCGGTGTAAGCGACGGAATAGAGACCGCCGAAGAGGGTGTAGAAAACAGCGATGCAGGCGCTCAGGATGACGGAGGTGCCCTGGTCCATGTCGATGATGACCGCCAGCGTGGCTCCAAGTGCTGCGAGGATACCCGCCGCCCAGAAAACCTCGCCGCATAGAGCAGGCAGGAAGAGGAGGCCGCCCATACGCTCCCCGAATGCGTCTTGAAGCGGATCCAACATCGTGACGTACCCCTGCTGTCGCATCTTGTTCGCGAAGAAAATACCACCTGCAACAGAAAGTCAAGACCGTTAAGAACAACATTTTTCCACTGACATATCTCATTTACGGCACTCATTACAAAACAGAAATAGTTTCATCGAATACTAGAATGATATCTTGTACATAGATTGAAAGAGCAGAAATATCAATAGAGGAGAAGGTGGTATTATGGCACCCCAGTTACATTTTACACAATAACTTTGTTAATAATCAATATTTAAGTTTAAAACTTGACAATTACATTTGTTAAAATATTGTTGAATCGCGATTCTGGATTTTTTATTCTGGATCTTTAAGTTACGAAATATTTATTACTTAGGATACTATTAACAAAAATGTGGCGACATTGCATAATGATTCGAAGAAAAAAATAGATGGTAATGTGACCTTCCATAAAAATAGCCTTAAAATATTAGTTTTGTTTAGAAAACAGTATTTGATTACGAAATTAACAAAAAAGAAAAATATGTATGCAAATTAAAATGTATGCAAATGAATGTATATACATTTACATAACTTCTGCATATAAGCTGCTCAGTACTAAAAATAGTACACGTAATATAAACTATAGATTAATAGTAGAGCCACAGTCGAACATATCAAATAATTATATTTTGATATGAAAACCTCAAAAAAGAGGTCGTGAGTAATCAATATCCATAGAGGGCCACATTATTATTAGCAAAATGCCAGGCTATTGTTTAAATTTGCATAATTCAAAATATATACAGTCAAATAAAATGTTAAATAGAAAAAGACATTCAAAAATACATATATTCATGTGATAATACGCTCAAGTTTAAGAAAAATGAGGGGGGAAGTAGGTGTAATTAAATGCTAAAATGTATCTCAGAAACGTTTCGAAATACTTGAAAATAAAAATGCGTTATAATAAGTGCTGGTTATTGAGTATTGGTAATATTAGCGTCATGATGTAATGGCGAGCTACTGAACTAATAATTCTATAAGTAATCATTGTAGGATTCGCTGTATAGTAGCGAAGATATTAAAGGAGGCCACAATGTGTACACTAGCCATAATACCACCTTCTCCTCTATCAAATGTTGCGGTAGACATTGATAAGCATTTGGATATCATGATAACTAACAATAAAAGAATGGAAACAATATATGCATATTTTCATAGAAATTAAGCACCAGAAATATTAAGTAAATACAAGTCTCTGATTGAGACATTTGAAAAACTTATCGACAGAATACTAAAAATTTGGTTTCTGTTATCAAAATCCAAGGAGCTTAAGCTTAAAGAAGTCAGAAATTTGAGAAAAAATAAGTTTTTTGTCTAATTTTAGTAAATATATATGATAACGTATATGATAATAAATTTAAAAACAATGCACGCAAACTGTATTTATATTTTATTCTTTATTTTACGAAATTTCCATAAATGGGAATGGAAATGGTGTGCTGAAATTTTTAAGTGGTAGATCTAAAAATAATTCTGTTGGACCAGTAAAATAATTATATATGACACTCAAGCATAATGAGCAATGTTATAAAAAGTTTTGACATTTTAGTAACTCGTTTAAGCATTCTACAAAATTATTGAGATACACCAAAAAATTATTTTCAGATCTGTATTTAATTAAATTTTTTAATTCTTCAGTAAAATTGCTCTTTCCATAAAAAGATTCGGAGTTTGAAAAAATAATAATCAATTTTTTCTTAATGTTACTAGATGATCATTCATAGACATAGCAAAGCTAGGCTTTCAATGGAGTTATAGTCGCATTTATTCTTTGCCGAGGTCGTTTGACTGCGCGCGAGACATTGGTGGCAAAGTTATCGCCTTTATATGCGAGAGTGCCGATAGCGAACACTGTCGACTGTCTGTTATATTACAAGAATTCTATTGTCGGCCGCCGTAACTTCTTCAGTTGGGCATATAAGCATTCCAACCTGTGTAAAGAAAGACACGCCATCGATCAACAATCTTTCGATTGTTTTATCGTTGATCTTTACGATTGTAAACTTTCACCGTCCACCCGGCTGATTAAGGCGAACTTACACAATGTTATGAAAAGTTTTCAATATCTTCATTTTCAATATCTTCTTCTTGAGTTTCTGTGTCATTATTGTTTCTTGTCAGATTTTGACGCGCGACAAGTAACTTGCGTACACTAAATCGCTATTATAAAATCTACATGACCCAAAAGTCGTAATTTTATAAGTTGTTTGAATTGCACAAAATCGCCAAGCAATAGAGCAAGAACGAACCGCATCACAAAAAGGCAACAGTAAAGTCTGGCTCATCAATTTTACGTGAAACTTTCAAGATTCTTTTAGATGAAGATAAATGGAGGTAAAGTTTATCGTACAGAGATTTTTATTCGAATGGTTCTGTATCTTTGGGGAAATTTTTCACAGAAAAAGACTAAAAAATGAGTAAACTTGTACTTTTTTACATTTCGAAGTACCGAATAACTATACTTCGCGTTACAAAGAAATTAAAAATTAACGCAGTCACGAGAACAAGAAATAAGACTATAATATCATTTTTAGACCGTATATGTGAGAAACACAATCGATAAATTAGAGCCCTATATCGATCGAAGTAAATCTTAAAATGCTTAAATAATTCAATCTTGAATCACTAAATATGATATATATGTACTTGACATACATACCACACTTGTAGTCTAACGAACTGTGCACCGAAATATTTCCAGACTAAACACAATTACACTACTGTAGTAATTTCGCGCATTAAATTAAATTCTAATAATTTCGACTTCCGGCCGAGGTAATATTTTTCGCAATAAATTTAATTACAGTTTTTTCAGCATATTAACATATTTGAAATATGATGCCTGATTGAGCATTATTATATCGATATTATATATCGAAATTATTAAAATTTAATTTAATTCGCGAAATTACTACAGTGGTTTAATTGTGTTTAGTCCGGAAATATTTCGGTGCACAATTCGTTAGACTACAAGTGTGGTATGTATGTCAAGTACATACATATCATATTTAGTGATTCAAGATTGAATTATTTAAGCATTTTAAGATCTAGCTTCGACCGATATAGGGCTCTAATTTATCGAAGAAATAAGACAATCGGACTCACCGAAAACGAGGCTGAGGGCGTATCCAAAGGGTGCCTGGCACCAGACCAGACCCCTGGTGTAGATTGCCTCGGCGGTGCCGTTGATGTAACCACCGCCGACCCAGGTCGCCGTCATCGTGAATATCCCGACGAAGAGCCCGATCGAGCGGCCGGCCAGCATGACCTCCTCCTCGGAGTCGTTGCCCGCTTCCTTTTTCCTGGCCGCCCATATTCCCACGCCCAAGATCAGCAGGTAGAAGAGAACGATGGAAATTACCCCGGCGATGTTGATCATTTTCGGGGAATAGGGGTCCACCGGCGTGAGCTCGAGCTGACGGAAACGTAGGTCCGAAAAGTTCGGCGGGTGATCCGCTTTGGGATTGTCTGGATATCTGAATTCAATTTTAGACATGTTTTTCCTTTTCAGAAACCATTGTGTGAAGACGGAATTTAAAAGAATTTCAAGAAGTTGAAATCTCAGCAATCGTGATGCTTAATTCGATAGTAAAAAATATATTGTCACGAATTACAAGAATTTTTATAATATTTTGCATTTTGAGAAAAATATTATGCTTATATATTTGAATAAATTATTTAAAAAACTATAACAAACGGAAGAAAAATCGCAAAATAAAAATTATAAGTTTCCATCTAGAAATTATTTCAATGGAATAAATTTTATTCGTTCACCATCTTACTTTGAATAGTCTGAATTACTTAAATTTACAATTTTATTTATAAGAATTGAATTTTTAAATTCTTTTTTTCTATAATACAATACATTTTTAAGTGCCAAGCTCTATTAATTGTTTTTTTAATTAAAAAAGATAAATATATGAGTTCTCTTCCTTTATTCGCGGCTGACGACGTTAACGGCAAAAACTTCTCAGCATAGGTTTTACAAAGAACTTATCAATTTCGCGTAGAGTACATTAAAATCTTCCACTTGATTAACACCGTGACCGTCACGCTTGCGGCCAACAAGTGCAGTTAAGCGCAAATATTATGTTTCTACCCGAGGGGTATTTAAATCGTTCAACCGAGTTCACCCTCTAATCCTGTTAGGCATGGTCTACCCGAGGCGCCGCCGCTCAATTCGGCTTCAAAAAGGATGTAGCTTCGCTTAACGCACTTTACTCGACGTAAAATAGAAAAAAAAAGAAAATTGAAAGAACGATTTTGCCGAAATATCTAAAATTAGATACAGATTAGAAAATAATTTTGCTAGACTATCAAAATAATTATATAAACTCTCAATCTCATTGCTTGAGGTCCAGTTTCATAACTCACGGTTAACTCTTAATCGAGGTTTGACTTGTTTCTCATCCCTTTCCAATTCTAAAATTGGAAAGAGATAATGAATAAGTTGAACCTCGGTTAAGAATTAACCGTGAGTTGTGAAACTGGACCTAAATGTCAAAATTTCTTGCACCATTAACAGCATTACTCATCAACTTGAATAATTTTCCTTCATAATAATTTTGATGATCCAACAAAATTATTTTCAAATCTATTTAGCTAAATTTCAATAGAATCGTTCTTTCTGTATGCGACTCTTTCTTTACGAAAGAAAAGAATAAGATTGCAATTTATACAATGAAACACAAAAATGCAGCTTCAAAAGACAGTTTTTCAAACTATGAAGCGAGATCAAAAGAAATAAAAGCATATATTTTATTGGTAAATAATAAAAATTCACCTTGCAAATAGTAACAAAGCATCAAAGAATACGCTTCAAAATCAAAGGGAAAAGTGAAGAAGAGACATAAAGGAACGTATGCATCTTGTATAACCAAAACCATAAAGGACACGACTGCTGAGAGTTCGTCTTGCGGGACACATAAGCTTCGTTTCTCTTATTCTTTATTATTCTTTATTGTTATTCGAATAAAAATAAGGAAAGAGAATTAAAGTGTTATTAAAACTACCAAAATTATCGCGACGAAATTTCCAGTCAACGAAATAACAGTTCGATGTGCCCCGCGAAAAAGGGGAGCGAAATCTAAATATCAGGGGTGGAGGTTTACCTTTGAAATCCCCGCGAGGTACAATCACGCAACAGCGGGGGGCAGCCTCACACGGGCACCGGCGGCATTTCTTGAAGACGATGCTTCCAGACGACCGACGACGACGCTTGGTTGGGATTCGGGGGGCAGCAGTCACCCCACCGGAGCGAGGTCTTCTGGGAGGGGCTATTCCTTGTCCTAAACGCGAGGCCGCCCATGGGCGCTGATGGCCATCGATTTTCACCCAACTCACTGAGCCCGCTGCTTCCCTGCCTGCCTAATTTCTTCGTTTCCACCCTCCTCCCTCGTCTATTTCCTGCGCCCACGGGACCGATCGCGGGGATCAGCACAGTCCTTTACCTAGAAGAACGAGGACTATTATGTTTAGAGATATTAGATGCGAAAGAATGTGCGAAAGTGTCATCAAGGAGAGTATTTCAGTCAGAAGATGTCATCTCGTATTTTAATTATATATAAGAGCAAGTTTGTAGCAAGATCGGTTAACACACAATTGACCGAAGGAGTGGTAACCCATAAATTAAAGTTTTTAATCATCTGTGAAACTTGTGTTCTTATAAAGTTATTGTTCATTAATAAATAACATAAATGATGAAAAAGTATTAACTCTTTTGATGAATATATATTCTTGTTAGCTCAATTTTTGTATTTAAATAGGAAAAATAATGTCTTTTTTTAGCCTCCAGCATCAATAATTCCTTTAATGTGCACAAAGAGAGTTTACAAAACTGTGTACACTTTATCACAACGTTGTATTTTCAATAAATCTTTTAAGTAATTTTAATCTTAGATTTAATTCTCAAATTAACTTTGAATCAATAATATTTAAATTAAAATTTTCAATCTAAACTAATAAATTTTTGTCATTTTAATTCATAGATTCTCTTCATGCATTTTAAATTTAATCTATCTAGTCCTAGAAATTCTAATTTTAGATATAAACAATCAAATAAGTTAATCAGCGTTTTGAAATTTAATAAATCCTCGAACATTCACAACTTATAAAAAATTTAACTACACAATTTTGGTCAGCGTCAAGATTGTTATAAAAGAAAGTTTTATTATAAGTTAGAGATTCAACAAATAAAATTATCACATATAGTTCTATAAGTGCTGCTCTATTCACATGCGCTCTTTTATATCCATAAGTACGAATGCATACGTACGAACTCTGACTGGTCATGGATCTCTATGAATTATTTTTGCGCGGTTGTACTCTAAAGCTGGCCGGTAATATAATTCAATGCCGATTATAGTAGTTGATACCAATTGAACGTAGAGAAAAACGAATTTGTTTTGCGTATTTTATTTTATAACATTTCTATGTGAAATAAAATACTAATGGTACAAAAAAGAGACCTTTTTCATCGCCTGCAATTTCATCCGACCAACCTTTTCGGAATAAAAATTCGAAATTTTTCTCGAAGATTGCACTATTTTTTTTAAACTCGCTTATGTTACTACAGCCAAATGGTTACTTACGGACGCTTTCCTCGCGTTCCCACTCAACAAATCTCCCGATCCCGAAGGAACCCAAAGCGGCTATGACTACCTCATTGTGAGGAACCGGCGTTCAGCGCAAGCAATCGATGACCGTGGGGTACCAATGGTCGAACCGATGGAAAACCGGTAACGCGAAGACAAGGTACAGAGTCGACTTCACGTGACGGGGAGCGCAACTATCGGTCCTAAAAAGGGTCAGCGAGATGGAGCGCGAGACGAACCGGAGGTCGAACGGATCGTCGTTTTCGTAATCGTGGCCGTGATCGTCGCTGCCACTGTTGTCGTCGTCGTCGTCGTCGTCGGAACGACGTTGTCGTCGTCGTCCCGTACAGTCGCGGGGGCCACCTCGTACTGAGGCGGTCGGTCGTCTGCCGTCTCGCGAGGACCGACGACGGAGGGAGGGCATTCGGTATGATATTGATTCGACCCCCGTGACGTCACGGCGCGGCGTCGTGCGGGGGGTGCGCAGCACTTCGTATCGTCGCCCCACCATCCCCCGAAAACCACCCCGTGTCCTGCCGTCTGCACCGCCGTACGTCCCTCGCTATCGCGTACCCCCTTCACACCCTCTTGTCCCATTCCTCCACGAACCCGACGCCCCCGCCGGGGGCGAAGCGGGGGGCGTGGACAACCGGCTTTGGCTGGCTGCCGCTGAGTCTGCGCCCCCGACTGCGTCGCGACGAAGATCGCGTCCCCCTGGCTCTCTCCACCGCTCTCCTCTCACCCCTTTCGCACGGAGAGCGGAAATTCGGGGGAGGAAGAGGAGGAAACTCGGAAGATGGACGAATTGAGGCCTCTCAGGAGATGAAGAGCCGGCACTAATATGACTTCGAAGGTGCGTTATTTCCTGGTGAACGTCGCGTGCATTGATCAATTCGCTTCCTCGCCTAGGAACAAGTAGATGTGTCGATTAATAATTTCCCTTCACGACATGGAATGCCGCTGCGTTCGACATCTTTTCGACTACAAATGTCAAAAAAGATGATAAAAATTATGGTTGGAGTTATTCGATATTAGAAATTATAAAAGTAATATTTAAATCATATTACCCTTGAGAATAGTAAAAATGTATTTGCCAAGAACTCTAATGAGCTTCAACTTAATGAAGTTAAAATATAAATGTCACTTTCCATACTTCAGAGTTGTAATATTAGAAGAGTAACATTGGTCTATTTCTGCATCAAGCACGATTAGCCTTTAAAGGCTAATTACTCGTAAGTTATTTGCGTTTGCTTTTGTTGGAAGTTTAATAATGTCTTGCCATTGAAAACCAAAAGTCATACGATGATTTATTATAAAGCAAATGTAATTCTTTTATAAATAATATACAAAACATTCTCTGTAACTATATATATTTATATAAAAGTATTAAACATTGAATATATTAAATTTTTATTTTTTTATCGAACGTAAAAATGACATAAAGATATTTCCCCTAGGAAAAGGACAAAAGTTAATTCTTCAATACATTGATGTCTTTTATCGATTGTGACTCCTACGTGCGGATACAACACCGAGATCTCATTTTAACCAAACTCGACGAAAAATCAGCTCCAACTTTTTATCACGTCTGAATTATCAAATTTTACGACTGACATTTACAGTAACATTTTGGATTCTCCAGGTGTGCGTGGGTAGAAGGTAGTGGAGGCGGTAGGTAGGGATGGATGACAAAAGTGAGGATGAGGATGGAGAACATCGATGGCAAGAAAGGCGCACGACCTGATGAATCGATAACCCCGAAAAACATGTATTCACCTCTCGGCGATTGCGACGTTTAATTACATGGGCAAAGGCTGACGTTTTTTCATTGAAGCGATCGACTATTATTTTAGAAAAAAAAACCTACGAAAGTGTGTCATTGTAGCGGGGGTGAAGATCAGATTCTGAATGAAATAAAATATTCAAGGGATGTCGTCAGGTGTGTCGAATTATGAAATAATGCCCGGGTGGAACGGCACGTTATACGTCGGCACTTAATTACTCCTCTGTAGCAAAGACGATCCCTTGCGAAGCGAATTTAATGATAAAATAATGTAAATTTGTCAGTGCATAAATTTGCTTACGTCACGCGAATGGTAGTCTGCTAATTAAAGTTATGAGTAAAGAATTCATAACTCCTCATATTTAATCTTCCTTTATTAAATATAATGTGTTATAATAAATGATTAGAAGCACCTAAGTGTTATAACAAAATACTGTAGACACATAACACATCATTAAATAGATTTTTGGGATATACAATATATACTTTTTAGAACCATCTTTTTTTATCTTATTATTGTTTATTATAGCAATTAATCCTTTAAATAAAGTATTTTAATTCTTATTGTGCTTTATTATATCATTTCCCTCTTTCATGTTGTAATATAACGCAGTTCAGTGAACAGCAATAATCATGTTCAGTGAACAGCATCTCGCGTGAATCTTAATACTCGCGTAAATTACGAATTTAGAGACATACTCTTCAAGAATAATTTATAAAATTTCGTATTTGTATTGATACCACACAACGTGAGTGCCAAGAATAACACGGCGTTAAAAATGCTGACGTCAAAACTGCGGAGAAGCAAGGAAAATCTATTAATGGCTAACGATTTGTTATAGGTCAATATAGAGCACAGAGAAATATAATTAATCTCCTGGACTGGGATAACGCAGCAAAATGCAAATAATTACAGGAATAAGCTAGATTAGGATGCTGAAGAGACAGATTGTAGTGGCAAATTTCCTGTGATCCCTCTCTCCCCCCCTCTCTCTCTCTCTCGAATTTTGCATGATCAATATCATTTGACCCATTCCTGTCAAATTAAAAATTACACTTGCTATTTTCCTATCACTTCATACCACATTTTATATATATTTTAAGCATCTGAATACAGATTTCTTGTTTCAACTCTAAATTTTGTAACATAAACAAAATACTTTTTTTCTTAACAAAACAAATAATAGTAAATTTGCCATAAATGTCAACAGAATATAAATATATAAAATTATGGCACTCAATTATTCCTTCGTAGTGAATATTACGAAATAATTACTATTTTTTAAGGCATTTTGTAATGTGACATCTTTAATTATACATTATTTAATTTATATATAGTAAATATAATAATGATTCTGTATCTTGCATCATCATATTATTATATAGACTTATTATAAAAATATACAGTATTATTTTATTTTTTCGTTGGAAATAAACAATAAATACTTTGCGCTATAATTATTAGCACTGGACTGCTTAGAATATCTTAAAATACTTATATAAAAATTTGGATAGAGCCGAGATATCTTCTACAACGTGGACACACTGGATGCTCAACCCTATCAACAATTCTACCAAGGTAGTTCGCAGTTTGCCGAGTGTCATACTCACTAGTATTCTTTCTAAAACAAGAAACTATTGAATGTAACAAAATACAATTAAGATCACTTTTATCCATTAAGTCCGTCTTTTTTTAATTAAATTTCTTGTGTGCACCATTCAACTTTATTTTTGTGTCTCCAAAACGTGGAGAGAAAAAGAAGAAAAAGATGAACCTCGCAAAAGTTCAGCTAAAAAGACTTCTGATTCCACATAAAAATTAAAATGCAGGGGAAGAAAAAGAAAGATCCAACAATAGTGACGGAAATTGCCGATGTCAAAGATATTTCACGAATCGTGGAATAAATTTCTACTAATTCTTATCGATTCCCTCTGGTTTTAGATGGACCGCTTTCGTGTTTTCGCGAGCGTGACGCGATATCGCGGAGCGATCGTTACGCACCCTAGTAAGGGCGACGAGTTAAAAACGACAACCAGTTGAGTGAGTTCAGGCGACCCCGACGGCCTACTTGTCACGAAGTCAAGCACTGACATCCGCGGAGAACCGGTGAATTGAAATTTGCCCGGCCACGTGTCAGGTGAAGCACCCGGGACGACAATATGCACGTGCGTCCGCACGGCTCGTAACTGGATACGACGAAACATGAGGGTTCCATTGGGTTATCATAGGGTGATACGAGACTCCTAGAGGGTCTACACGTGACGTACTTGTAGATCACAAACGCTATGTCATGTTTCAGAGTAACGTCAATTCCTCCTTTTGTTTAATATGTACATACCTGTCGTTTAATTATAAAGCGTCAAAATAACTTAAGATACGCAAAGTACTTTGCAATTTTTACATAATTTTAGTGCCTAAACATTTTCGAATTAAAAGAACATTCTAATTGTAAGTAAAATAAATTGTTTTGATAATTTAATGACGAAGATATAAATTATTTTTTACAGGTTTAATCCTTAAAGCAATACATATTTTTTCTTACTCTAAAGGAACACATAGGTTCTCAGGATCCACTAAAGATATTTTGTTACTACTTACAATTAGTTTTACAATTTTTTATTTTCTTCAAGAAATTTTTAAGTTCAGAATTTATTGTTCCTAAATAATTCGAAAGAAACTTGCTTTGTTAAAAACCAAATTTTCCGGAAACACCACTGTACAAGGGTCGGACTCTTCACAGATAATAAATCAAAGTGATCAGTATCTTGACTTTCGTAAACGAACACTTCGTGATTCGACATCGAAGCGACAAAGAATCCTTGGAGATCCAGACGGTAGCAAGTAACGGCGGGAAATAAAAAGATCAGACAAAACAGGATCTTATTATTTCTCTATCGCACAAAAATCATTTTAAGTATATAAACGACTAGTAGTATAAAGAACACTTTAATAATGAAAGATCTCTTATTTTTGTAAGTAGCGAATACAGCGACGTTCATTATATATTTTCTCTTGACATTTTAATCTATTGTAAGGAGCATGAGAGAGCGTGAGGTAGACTTTCTATCTGCCTAAATTATTCTCCTCCGGCGAGTTGTACGTGCTGGCGAGACTAATGTGTGTGCTTCGACAAGTCCTATCATCTAAGACGTAGCCGCTCCTACTTACTTCCTCTGAATGAACATCTCAACCGATACTTTAAATGCAAGCCTGCTGTTAACATTTACTTAAGTCTTACTTGGTACACAATACGCTTTGTATAGATTTTAAATTTAACTCTTTCTAATTTCAAATAGTAATTTATATAAAATAGAAACTGGACATTATAAAAACAATAATAAAATAATTGTTAATTTAATTAAAATAATGACATTATTTTAAATTAAAATACAAGCATTAAAAAGTTTCTATTTTAACTTTTTTATTTTATTAACTTATCATATTACTAAAAATAATCGGAAATATTATTATAAGTAATTAATTTATAACGTAAATATAAAATATATATAAAAAATAATCAATGACTCTAGAAATTTTTTGTATCAATTGAACAGACTGGTATCAGTAGCGCCATCCATTAGCAAGAGAAGAAGTAATTCAAATGTAGCAATATATGTATATAGTTTTACTACACCAATATATAATTTTATTTTTATATAAAAATATTGAAAATGTTTAATTTAAGGGATTGCTGTAGTGACCAAATTGTAATGTTATATTTAATGCTACACTTTAGCTAATTAAATAATCATAACATTTTTTTAAGAGATTTTTGTTTTTTTTTTAAATGTATTTTTTACAATACTCCAAAAA